AATCTTACCTGGTTCCTAATCTTATGAACCAAGCCAAATTTAGAAGGATTTGTATGGAGTCGTCACAGCATAACTGGGCTAATATCTCAGAGACAATTTGCCCCGAATTGCTAATTTTTGGCGAGTAGGTGTCTTGGACGTTGTTCTTTCAGAATATCTTAACAAATCCCATAATTTCACAAATTTCATTTTTATGACGTCATCACTTCGGTACTCTGTTATAATGTGGCTTTAGAACAAAATCTCTTCTTGCTGGACAAAGCGGGAAAGAAAGGCCCAAGTCTTCCACGCAGCCGTTTTTGCCTTGTCACGTAAAACTTCTTCACCTCCCTTTCTTGGAAAGGAGCGTTGCGTGATGGGACAAATGACGACTGAGTGGGAGACTGGACAGGCCAACCTTACCCGTTCATGTAGCCAATCAGAATACAGGATTCGTTCTATCATTCCTGCGGTTGCGCAGCCAGCTGCATCATAGAGAAATACATAAATAGGGCTTTCGCTTTCCGATGAAGACGAGGCTAAGTGCAAAAATGAGCTTTATTTGCATGAGAATAAAAAATTGTCTTGGCACCAGGCCTCGGTTTGACAACGAGAATTGAGGCACCTCAGAAAAGACCTAGTATACATTTTTTTTGACAGCCTTCTGTTTTAGTATCGTCTACATAAGAAACAGTTGAAAAAGTGTCCGTAACCAACCTTTTACAACTGATACCCTTTCTAAGACACGTGATAGCGCATGACCAAAGAGGGGACCGGAATGCAGCCAAGTTTAAACCATGGCTTTTGGTTGACAAGAAATTTTCATCTTTTTAATCACCCAGCAAATGCCGTGTCATTGTGCTCTAACGAGAACGAAACAGAAATCTACGACTGCCTTTCTCCCATTTTTGATGTTACATCGGACTCATGTCTAAGTCTTTCAAGGCTGTAGATAAGAATTGACATTTTCCAGGGTATTTTCACGTTTATTAGGTGATATTGGAAGATACAGCTCACATTCGCTCATCTATTCTCGAGTTAACTTCCCCTATAACTCCTTCAAAAATTCCCTGACCCCTCCCCCCAACCCATCCGGACAAATTCTGATTGTTCCCCAAGATGGTTCCTTGGGGGATGGAACACCCGGTTATCACGGACAGTTTTTATTCTGTCCCGACGAATAGCTCCTACACTTTCTCTTAGATCAACCTGCTCAATAGAGACACCGGTTAATACAGACAACCGCTCCTTACCTGATCCAGCTGTATTGCTTTCGTACAAAGTTAACCTCGCTTTATCGGCGCACTGTATACAAGTCAAATGTACCAAGGAGACCTAATTGGAAAGGCCAACAGTTTCTCGGGTTTGGGTTGGGTTACTGTTCAACCCATTCAGCCCGTCTAGATGAACGGCAAAAATTTAGAAATTTGCCGATTTTAAAATGCTGATTTAGGCAAATGCGAACAAGTTTTCGTGGGAGGCGGGGGTAGGAAGAAAACGCTCTTTTAGTTTATCCCCCTCCCCCCGCAAAATGTAGTTTGCGAGCTAAACTCAAGGGTGTCCTTGTGTTCAAACACCGAGAAGTTAGTTTCTTTAGCCATTTAATCTTAGACTCTCCAGTGGGGGACACTACTTTTTGACAGACACACCGAGTGGGTCCCGATAGCGAACAGTCTGATCATTATAGCGGAGCTCCACCCGTGCGCGAAGCCCCATAGCTAAGGAAATGTGGTAATCTACCCATCCCAGAAAATTTGGTAATCACGTGACCGTACACCGAGCGAGCGAGCGTGCGGGCGACCGTCCGTCCGCACCACAGACATACCAATGTAAAATAACTCAATCAACAGCTCAGGTATGGGAACCCAAATGCAACTCAAGGTTTTATTTGGAAGGAAATCACATGGCCGCCCGGACTTTTAGAAAGAAAAAAGTCGTGTCTTTTTCGGCCTTATTTCATATGTGTACACTAACGTGGATAACAGAGAAAGAGCTAGAGCGAGTTATTGAAAATTCGTTGGAAGAAAAACATGGAAATTTAAAGCGGCGGTGAGAAAATGAGAAATGCTAGCGGCCAGCAAAGTGAAAATGAGCGGTAGGGAAAAATAAAAGCGAACATGAACACTGGAAACAAAATATTGGGTAAGCACATACGACAATTTCTCCATAAAAATAGTGTGTAACTAGGAAGTTTGACGCTTTAGTCGTACAAAACAGCATTGTAGTCGTGCAAAACAACAGCAAGGGAAAGACAAAAACGCGTGCTGCACGTGCAAATTTGCTTTTCGCTAATTAGAAGAAAAAGTGTGCTGCACGTGCAATTTGTTTTTTTGCTAATTAGATCTATTAGTCTTGAAGCCATTTTCATTGTCGTCCCCCGTTTAGCGTTACACGATTTAATTTTTTTTGTTTACACGTATTATTAACCAGAGCTTCGCTTTTAGCCCTGGCTAAATCTATATATTACGTTTATGGGAAACTGCCCACCTACCCCTCCCCTAAGCCAACATCAGCACTTACTTCTCACTCGGGGAAAAATGTTGGAACGGGTATGTGGGGACGGGTATGTGGGTAGTTTCCCATAAACGTATAATGATCCCAGTATGATTGTGCCAGCACGGGAAACGGAAGTAATCTGCAGGAAAAGCAGGAAAAGCCACACACTGTAAAATTGGTGTCTCATAACATTCATTTAATATAACATTTCGAAGCTATTTTACGTTAACTAAATGACATCTCATGTCCAAAATCTAAATTCTCCTAACTACCACAAGAGTGCATCTTATAAACTTATCTACAGTACAAATTTGTCTTTCTCCCTAAAGATTCCCTTTGGAGGACAGAATATATAACCTTTTAGGAGAACTAATTAATTCATTATTATATTATTTTGCAGCATCCCTCCTTAAAATACATGTAACCATGACAATCCTGAGAGAAGGGAATTCCCATATGCTCAGGGGCAGAAATTGCAGTCATTGTAGATTTTGGTCTCACTTAAGGTGTTCAGGACGAAAAACCAATGTTTATGACAAGAAAGGTATCACTTAGGGCTGTGTGTAAAGAAATATCCATATGAAAAACAGACGCTTTCATATTGTTGGGGTACAGTTTTCTTATAGGGGTAAAATATAGCCTTAGCCACTCCCATATTGGTCTTTAAGAGTTTAATCATAAGGTTCCGACGAGCAGCCCCATCATATTTACATGGGAGTACCCCCCGGGGGTAAGAAAGAACCTCGGACTAAACCTGTTGAGACATCACAAAAATACCTATTTTTCCTGTCATCCTGACAAAAATGGAAACCGTCACCAAATGAATGTCCGTTCTATCCCCCTATTTCGGATAACACGAGGATTATACACGTTGGTTTTTAGACCAAAAGAACATTGAATAGGGGCAGGGGGGGGATTCCTGTTTTTCTTTAGAGGAGATGTTAGTTAGAAAATAGATAGAACTGTCACAACAGTTTTGTCCGAGCTACCTGCACTATAAATGGATAATCTCCAATTCAGATATTCTTATGGCTTTGTCACGCACTTCTTTGCGTGACAAAGCCCTAAGAACGTCTGGGTGGGATACTATCAAGAACTGGCCCACATGAAAACATCCCTAATCACTCACCCAGAATTGTCACACAACATTTCCCTAAATAGTTACATGATTTCAAAGGAGGGGCATTGCTGAAAGAGAACCCCTAAATTTAAGTATAAAATTAACAATTTAAACTTTTATTATAATAATACGATTCCATGTGGACACTACCTTCATAGAATTCACTGATATTTCAAAAACCTTACCAATGTAATTTTTCTTTGTGCTGATAAAATATATCATAAAATTGCTCTCTTGAAACGACCATTTAAAAATTTCAATTTCCTTAGTTTCGTGTATAAATCTTAAAGAATTCTGGTCAATAATAATACTATTTTCAAGGGTTCTGCTAACTTAAAAAATTGTATTTGGAAAGGTATTTTAACAATTCATTGAGTCGATTGATTCCATTTTGACATTAAGGGTTATCTCCCAGGGGTACTCTGAATTTCAAGTGACAGGGATGAAAACCCAAAAATATCCCTAGGGCTCCCAACAAAAATCCACAAAATTCCCTGAACCAAAAATGAACCCCAAAAAACCCACATGCAGAATTTCCGAGCCTTGAAAATTTTTCCAGAAGGCATTAAATGATATAACGCAAAAAATAAAAACATGAGAAATTGAATGTTTGTGTTTGTTTCTTCATCATACCATCTGAAGCCACCCAAAAAAATACTTGCCAAATTTTCCTTCCCGAAAAAATCCCGGAATCGAAAATTTCAAACCGCCAAAAGATCCTTCAATCTGCCCCATTACTTGAAATCCGGAGTATCACCTGGAGGTTATCTGCATACGTTCTACATTCCTGACACTCCAGTAAATGCTGGTTTTTCTTTTGTTTAAAAAGAAAGGAATGACCATTTCACTAAATTCCAAACAACTGCCCAAGAATGCAAAGTCCTCTTCTGGTCGAGGTGCATCACTCAAATCATTGTTTTGGTCTAACCTTTGCAATATTAGAAATTTGGACAAATCTTTATGTAAAACTTTGGTAAACCTGTGTTTGCAACTATTAAAAATTCTGACAGAAAAAATGAGCTGAATGCTCTGCATTTCACTCCATCACCAATCAAACAACTGGAAAAATATTCCATCTCTTGGTTTTCTGACTTTTAAAACAAGCTGCACTAAAATAATATTATAAAAATTTATAATGACTGATACTTGATATAGGTTTTTCGAAAATGTAAAAATTAATAATCAATTATTATTTCTGATACCTAGGTCGGCATCTTATCAAACTATAATAATTTAATCAAAAAATCAGCATCAATAAAACATAGTTTGCAATGTGAAAAACACACCAGCACACAGGTAACATGAGAAATTATTAAGCATTAAAATTCTTTATAAAAAGCATAACTTTGATTCTAGGTGTTAGATTTAGCTACAAACCCTATAAAACACTATAATCAGTGTGCCTGTGAAAAATTCCTGAATATGCAAAAAATAACAAATTTCAAGTCCCATTATGATAAAACTGAAAAGCCAAAAAGCACCATGATAAACTGTAGTTGGTGCAAACTTACTTAGCTTAAAGTGCCCATTGAAATAAGTTAAATGAAGAAGGCACACCGCGTCAATTAATGATACAAAAGCTACCATACTGACTAGAGAAACTTAACTTATTTAGAAGGACCAGGTTTGCTTTTAAGAAAGGATATATTATGCCAACAATTAATTCACTGATGTTGGCCCACAGACTTTGTAATGGTGCTCAACAAGATATTACTGTTATTGCTGCTGGGCTGAAGGAAATAAACTCTGCATACCCTGACGTCAAATTTAATGTTAATTCTATACTACAAATGTATATTTCTACATTTTACAGTCTCTTTGTAAAGCAAACTCTTTCATACCTTGCTACAAGCTATTAAAATGAAATATCATTTCAAATTCCTTAATCAAACTTTAACAAAGTCTAATAAAACTAAAATTGTGGAGAATTTCAGTTGAGATCAAGCCTAAAGAGTCATTATGTCCATGCACCTCTTATCACTCAAACTTCATAAAGCCTTAATTATTTGTGAAAAGCGTGCAAATTTTGCAATCACTTTTGTAGCATAAAAAATATAATGGAAAACCATTCTGCATTTTGAGATCATGGCTTCAGGATTGCATTGACTCAAAAAGGATACTAACAGCAGTGGTCGATTACAAGAAGTTCATAATGGATTCCATGCATGTTGTCAATATTTTGCCAAGAGTCAAGGATCTATGCCTTCTTTTGCTGTTGCTGTTTCTCATTAAAGTGTTGATAAATAAAATGGACATAGGTGATAAGACTCTTAGGTTCTGGATTCTCTAATGCCATAACATCTTCCAATTCCAGTAATGGCTCGATTCCCTCTTCACTAAAACAGCAAATTAAACCAAGTTAATTTCGCATGCATCAAAACAACTTAAAAAGTTAAAATCTTTAGGCGCCTGTCAAAACGTCACTTGAAAACAAAACTCACCTCAGAACACAGAATTCAGGGAGGGGGGATAGAAAGGGAAAACAAGGAAGCAAACTAAAAACCAAAAGCATGCAGCATTCCCCTAGACCCCAACCCCATGACAAGACGTTACCACTGACCCACACTGATTTGGTTATCTTTGCATACCTTTCATTTCAAAAGTGACAACTTACAAAGGCTGAATTACCACCATAGGAGAAATTTCTGGATTCATAGAGGTTTCTGGGGTTATTACAAGTACATGTAGGGTATTCAAATTCAAAAGCATTTTTTACAAATCAGTTTATCTGGGAATATTTATTTAGATACAATCTTGTCACTTGAGATTCCAGATTTCAAATATCTCCCAAAAAAACACAAGTGAACTGGCATGTTCTTATTTCAGATTCATGTGCTGGAACAAAATTAATAGTACCAAAATACTAAAAAACAAAGTAAACAGAAAACAAACTTTATTTGAGTGTCAATGTATTAAGCATGAAAGCTCCAATCAAGAACAATATTTTTATTCTGGAACTCTAATCTCCAAAGCTCCAATCGTATTCAACATTTTTATTCTTTTTATTCTGTTTTATTCTGGACAATTTTTTTTTCTGGAGACAGGACTGCCATCTTGTGGTCATTTGAACCACGAATAGGTCTAGCCCTTTGCTAAAATACAGTCGAGCCATTTACCAATATATATATATATATATGTATATGAAATAAATCATGGATGAAAGTTTAAATCTTTTTGTCAAGAATAATTATGTAAAAATCTCCTCTAGTGTGAACCTAGCCAACGAGAGGTTCATTCAAATGGCAGCATCATAGAATTTCACTCACAAACTTGAAGCGACAGAGAGAAACTTCAATCAAACTTATTTTGACTGAAAAAGTTAACTACATCAGAGTGACAGCAGAGCCAAAAATAATCTTTCTATGAATTATATACCGAAGAAATAAATAATAAAATACTCACTTCGCCACTTTAAAGGCAAGAGCCCAGTTTGCTCTCTTGTCACTAGGATTGAGAGTTTCATAAGGTATCTTGTCTGGTAGAAAGTAATTCAACAGAGCACACATAGCAAGTCCATTGGCCCAGCTTGAGGAAAAGTTCTGAATTTCCACTCCCTAAATGAACATTTAAACATTGTGATTAAAGGTAAATGTATTATTTTTTATCTTATTTACCCTGCAGAAATGAATTGCTACATATATAAAATATCGCTGGTATAAACTCATGTGCAGCAAACTGTATACAAATAAAACACGAGAAAATCTGAAGTTAACAAAAACACGGTGTCACATTCAGAATAAAGACCTACTAAAATCAATGTTAATGCTGCAAGGACACACCTTTACTTGACAATTTGTAAAAAAAATGAGAGTGATTGATGAGGGATAGGACAAAAACCTGTTTATAATACCAGGACTTGATAGAAATTAAAAAAATCCTCTAGTGGCGACAAAATGGAGAAATACAGTCGCCATATGCAAATTTTTAGTTGCCAGTTTGTATAATGTAAATGACACAGCTCATACCTGGTATGGCGCAATCCATCAGATGCTTTTGATTGTTTGAAAATACCGTAAAATTCCGAAAATAAGCCCCTCCATGTATAAGACCCTCCAAATATAAGCCCCCTAAAGCGGTAACGCAAAAAACCCTCCGTTAAATCGCCCCTCGGGGCTTGTACTTGGAAAATTGCCCTCAAATACAAAGTAAAACAAAGCAAAAACGGCCATAAGCCATAAGGCTAGCCCAATCGATTTTGAAACGCAAATTTGTAGATAAGCCCCTCCAAATACAAGCCCCTCCAAAAATAAGCCCCTCAAAAAGGGCCTTTGAAAAATATAAGCCCCGGGGCTTATTTTCAGAATTTTACGGTATCACAGACAGAAGTCGCTATAAATTTGGAGGTAAACTGGCTTTGTTTATGCAATTTGGCACATTTTTTATGACAAAAGCAAAGCAAGATAAGATGAAATGTTTGTTTTAATTTTACCCAGTTAATTTAAATCTAAATCATAGAGAAATCTGGTCATCAAAGTGGCAACTACAACAGAACTTTCAGTCACCAAGGACAGAATGTTAGTCGCATTGGCAGCCATATCAGTCACAATTTCGAATCCTGATTATTGGTCAGAGACATCATTTTATGACACCACAATATCAATGCAACAAGGACAAAAAATTGGTTTTACAAGCAAAACAACCACCCTGCATGTGCATTACATTTTTTGGTTCACTTCATTAACCTTTACTAAACTTCCCACAGCAACGCTTCATGGAGAGCGTGAACACATGACAACATACTGGGAAATTTTGCCTACATATGACATATTGACAGAGGCTAAACAAACGCGGTAAAAATGGAGGACACCAAATGTCACTTATATATGGTAATTACTGAATGAATATGTAAATCTTGCACATTTTTAAGGATAATCAAAGCAGCACTAGTTACAACATGGTGTACATGATATTGCCTAACCTCATGATACTTGGTTCTTCTGCGACACCATTCCTGCAGAGAGTTTATGGCAGCATTTCCAGTCTGGAAGCTGCGTCCACTTCCTTCACTAAAATATGTCACATTAAAAATGTCACGGGTGAGCAAAATACACATAGTATTAAAAAATGGAAAAATATAGCCTAGGTTGCGGTGATTTTAGTCACTGCATCTAGAATGAACTCGTGACAGCTTATTCTTCTTACCCCCACCCACTTTTTGCCAAAAAATTTAAATAAGCACCTAGTCACATATTCAAGGAAATATATTGATAAGTATGTCATATGTAACACTGTGCTGTAATGCTGCATTTGAGCTCTGAGATGGAGTTTCAACACATACACTTTTGGTGACTGAGCTTCCAATTGTTCCTTAAAAGCCATCCTTTTGCTCCTTGTGTCTGCTTGTTGCTGTTTCTTGGCCATCATTCTTTCTTTTTTCTTCTGCGCTAGCATTGCTTCAATTGACGTTCCTCTCCCTAATAAGGAAAAGAAGGAAGCATGGTTGAGTGGTCAGAGTGCTGGTCTTAGCTGTTCGAAGCTAAGGCTGGATAGTACTATCCCATGGATAAATCTCTATCCAGTGGAAAGTGCAAATAGTTTCCCCAATACTTATCCGCTAGCTAGTGATATATCCTGTGGATAGCGCTATCCAACGTTCGAACAACAGGGGCCAGGACTTGCATTCTTGAGGCCTGGGTTCAATTCCTGCCCTGACTGCTAGCTGAATTTGCTCACTGTAGTTTTGAGTTCAAATCCTTGATCATGCTTGTAAACAGCAAACTGGATTCTTCACCATCTTATTTAGATCATTTGCTGCAGACACTAATTTGTTTGGCCCCACTAGCTTTGTGTTATAAATACTACCAAGGGTAAACAATAATAATAATTATTATTATTAATATTATCATTTTAATTTAAAGAAAAATTAATAATAAATAGGATTTTATAGTTAGCTTTGTTATCAAAAAAAGATTTATTATATTTTTTATTTTATTATTATAATTATTTATTTATTATTATTATTATCATCATTATTATCATTATCATTATCAGCAACATACCATACTGTCTGAACTTTAACCCCTTCCAGTATGGGGGGGGGGTACTCTACCATGGGCTGCTGGGATCCTAGAACCCCTAGCTTACATCACTACCGTATCTCAGACTATCTTGTACTAGAAGGTCCAAATCACCACACCATTGATCAATCTACCATAAATAATACTCTATTTACGACACAAATTCTCTGATTTCTATACTGTATCCCAGAGTAGACTGCTTGAAAACCTATTCTTTGGAGTGGGACATACACATTCCCATGTCCAATATGTAAGGCAGTAGTACCCCAAACACTTCTCCTGACTTTAATCCAAGATAAAAATGAAAAAAAGATTATTGATCCTTTCATCTAACTGTTAGCCAACATACTAACAGTTTGCTGACAGTTTTTTTAGCTTCCAGAGTGACAAAAAAATACAAAATGTACTCATAATTCAAGGAGTAGCATAAAGGTACAATTATTGCACCTTTGATCAATAATCTAACAGAAAAAGATTATAGTTAATGCACAACCTTAACTTTGATAACAAAAAAATATAGTATCTTATCATCACCGCTGAATGAAAGAAAAACTAAGCACTAACTAACTCTTCATTAACACCTTCACTATCCAAGGGAAAAAACCATAGTTACATGTACTTGAAAAATTAATAACTAGTTCAAAAAGTCTACCATATACCATAACACATTGTGTTTCTTTAGTCTGAGCAGCGAAATTGTATTGCCCACATACATGTAATAAATGAAACCTACTTAAAGTATATAACCTTCTGAAGAAAAAAATAAATTTCACCAGTATGGCACTGTAGGCAATCTTTGAAATTACTACATGGGGTATGGTTAAAAGTTAGTAGGTAAGCAATCTCATGTGTAAATAAATTGACTGCAAGATATATAGCTTTGGGAGGGATTCTCCTAAAAGGGAACTTCTTAAAATTATTATGATATCAAATTCAAACAATTTTGATTAAAATCTCCAGAAAAATAAAATAATCTTGAAAGCATTATCAAGTCATATTATCCTCAAGGTAACACAAAATATGTAAGGCTTTAAAGCAAAGTAACTCACTTACCAGGCTAGGGGCTTATGAACTTTGTAGTAAAAGAATTACAACCCCAGTTAAAAATAAGCCTCAAATTTCTTTTCAAAGAAAATGTTTGCCTTATGAACATAGGTGCCAATTCTCTAAACAGAGATGTTCTGACAACATTCGTTAACTAGCATCAGCTGAAAACAGTCATTTCTATCTACAGGGATATTTTCTCTCAGCAAAGACTTACTTAATAATTCATTCACCCGCACAGAAAGAAGATTAAAGAACAAAAGAAAATTGTCAAGAATTTTTTTTAGTCTTTGATGAACATTGTAACATGATTAATTATCAACATGATTTCTCACTGGAGCACTGTTAAACAAATGTAAAATATTTATGTGCTAGGGTACTGCCAATCAACACTAAAAAATGTTATGAACTTATATGAAGAGATTTTGCACTGGAAATTACTTAAGAGGTAAAAAATGAAAACAGAAACAGCTGTGCTTTTAAAATTCTGGCAAAAGTTCCTTAAAAATCCGACACTCTTAAGCTCTCAACCCCACAAAAAACATTAAGAAGTAAAATTATAACACAAAAAGAAAATGATAAACTCAACAGGAGGACATGGTATAAATAATTAATTTGCTATTAATCCTAGGTCATCTATGAGAGAATGAAAAAAAACTTTCAAATTCTAAACCCGAATAATAATTTTAAAATTATTGTTTATCAAGACAATTTCCTATCTTTAGTGGCCAATATTATCAGAAGGGCTATGTACTGTCAGTAATTTACAGCTAACAAACAAAACTCAGTTACAACGAGGTTTATGTAAAGCTAAGTCTGACACCTGTTATTGGATTCTAACAACAAATGCAAACTGCAACTAAGCAAACGTACTTCACAGCACAAAACTAATATTATACTCTATCACTTCTGTTGGTAACTACATGTGCACACCAATACTTCCCAAAGAAAGTTGAGGCAAAGAAATAATATAATGCAGCTCAAATCGATGTACATGGGACCTTTTCAGGACAAATAAATTCTTTTATTCTAACTATTTAAGCTACTTTGTTCAGTCAACTTATCCCGCCAAAAAAAGCAGAACTGTCCAAAAAAATGTTTGCAAGTCAGACACTACGCTGGCTTTAATTCTGGATGCTAAATTGGTAAATTAAGGCATAATTTTGTGTTACTTTTTTGGATTAAAGAGTTTAACTACCTCCCTTCCCCGTCTCCCCCTCCCCCCCCCCCCAAACCTTTTCTTTTTTCTCTCCCCTCTCCCTCTTCTTTTTTCTATATACTCCCCCGACCCATTATACTTTTTTTCTTTTCTGTGAATTTTGTATTAATTAAAAAAAATAAAATTTATGTTTATTTTTTTATATTTTAATCAAATTTGTTTTAATACTAGCTTCTACTGCTGCCAAAAAAAGCAAGACTGTCCAAAAAATGTTTGTCAAATCAGACACTACGCTGGCTTTAATTGTGGATGCTAAATTGGTAAATTAAGGCATAATTTTGTGTTTCTTTTTTGGATTAAAGAGTTTAACTACCTCCCCCCCCCCCCCCCCCCCCCCCTCCCTCAACAGTTACTTTCTCTCCCCTCTCCTCTCTTCCTTTTCTGGCAAAACCTCCAAGGATCCTTAAATCATTTTTCATAGTATGCACATGTGTATGTTACAAGTCAAAATTAATTTCAGGTTGAAATTTTTAACCTGAAGTAGATTGATTCTTAATTCCCTCTACTCCTAGCACTAATTATTTACGAATTAGGGCTAGGGAACAAGGGAAGTATTGAGAATCAATGAACCTAGGTCAAATAATCTTAACCTGAATTATATTTCGACCCATAACATGTACTTTAGTATCAAGGCTGAGCACTATCCAAAAATCAGTTTTACCAGAGTCCAAAGTCAATGCCTGGTGCTAACATTTTGCAATTAATCAAAGATTTACATGTAACTGCTGGGCCCCAAAGGAAAGAAGTAACAGAGGCACCCAACAACTGTTTTCTGTTAAATATCTGTCCAGAGAAGCAAGAATTGCCTAGAATTTTCTATAGCTTGAGAGAGCTAAAAATTTCTAGATGACCGTTCCATGCATGTATAATTTTCGTAGCATATCTAACAACTTCCCTACAATTTTCTTAAGTTTTTTGCATTTCAGTCCTTAAGTTAGCCTATTTTTCAAAGAAAAAGGAAACCTAGAATTTTTGGATTCTAAAATGTGATGGAGAGAGGAATCAGAAAAATTCTCAATTTTGTAAAATTCAAAATTGCACCTAAAATTTTCGGGAAAACGATACCAAGGCCCTTGTAATTTCGAAGAGACTCAAGTTGCCTTAGGACGACCGAACAGACAAATTTCATAGCACCCCTTGGAATGCATTTCTAGAGATCTGAAAATACTCTGGATAGCCTAAAGGAGTTTTCAGTGCATTTAGGAGGAAACTGTCATTGCATGGGTGCCACTGAAGTAAGTATATCCACTAACCTCTTCCTTGGATCTCTGTTGTTTTAGTTGTCTTAGTCACCGTTGTTGTGACCCCATCTTGCTTGTGAACCTCAGTGGTTTTTGTGACTCCTTTGGTCACTTTTCCACCATCTATTTCTTCAACTTCAGTGCTTTTCTCTGTTGACCTGGTAACAGCACCCTTGTCTTTCTGTTCCTTTTCGCGCAGAAGATCAGCACGTAACTTGTGAAGTTCATTTTTGTCTTGAATGTCCACAGAAAATCTTTCACTCCTGTTGCAAAAGAGAAGCTGGATGAGCCATAGACAAAACAAAACAGTTCTGACTGCATATAAATATCAATTATCAACCATCAAACATTTTCAAAAACTAAAAGGATTGGTCAATGGCAAAAATTACTAAAATATTGTATCATAAGGTCAAAATAATCCATGCATCACATCTGTTTTTCAAAAACTTCAGGAAGAGTATGCTCTTTTTATATACAAAGGACGTTTTAGAAAAGATTAAGTTCAAGGAAACTGCATAATCTGTGTAACCATCCCAGTAGTATATTGAGCTAATTAATTTTCTCTCAATAGTGGAAGAATTTTATTTTCTTCAATACAGCTGTAGGCTCATTTGCTTGAATAAGGAAGGTGAGTGATGACTTGCATTTTTTAATTCATTTTCTTTTTTTGTGTGGAAGGGTATAACCTAGTGTAATAAACTGAAATTTCTAACGGGTTGTTAAGATATTTATAAATACTTAAGAGTAATTCAAAGAGTTACATGTATGGGGTTAAAATTGACTTTGATACAAAATAGATTCAAACACAATAGATACAAAAACATCCAGAAATGGACAACATAGTTGAGAATGCCTGTTAAGCATGTTTTGATTAAAACACTCACATAAAACATGACAAATACTATAAATGCTTTGGTTAGGCTGTTAGCAAAGCAAAGATATGAAAGGTTGAAGGAAAGAGTGACCATTGTAGATAGAGAAATAAAACAGACAAGACAGTAAACTAAAACAAATTATTAAAGACATCAGTTTGAAATAGAAGATTTTATCTCTGACGCTCATTAAAATTTTCAATAACAATCAAAAGGTCATGAATCATAACAAAGCTTCTCTTCAGACTGTTCTTCACAGGACACAAAACATTTTATGGAAAGTTTAACATTTTTTTCCCAAGAAAATAGATGAAGCTGTAGTTTGCAGCCTTATTATTACACATGGTCGTATGGTGTGCTGTGTGTTTCAACACGAGTTTTTCCTTTCTTAACAAAAGGTTATCATTTAAATTGAAGGTTTGGACTTTGAGTCAATTAGTCACTAAATCACTTAATAATAATATTTCAGTTTTGATTGATCACTAATGAAGCATTTTTGGAATAGTTTTCATTTGTCTTTACTTCATTTTTCATTACATGTTTGGAATAGTTTCTGTTTAATTTTCTCTTACATTTCTGGAATAGTTTCTTTTTTGTGTCATTTTGTGTTATCTTAATGAAATCTGCATGCATGTACGATGTATGAATAAACACTCAAGACACCTGTTTTGGTTTTTTGTTCTATTTATTCAGCTGTTGCTCATTTTCCTTCACAATAAATTCATTATTACACCACAATTAGTGCTGTTAACCTATAATTGATTTTAAAGCTTTAAATCATTAGGTAAATGTTTGTCTTCTCCACTCATTAAGTGTCTAAAAAAAGTTTGCCAGATGTTTTAATTTGAGCTCTAGAAATATTTCTCTCACAGTCACTTATCAATGGCTACATAATTGAACACTCAATTTTATAGTCTAAACGTGTCACCACAAAGCAACATAAAATAGGAAACTATGCAAATGATTTGTGTTAGAAAGATCAAATTTGCTTCACCAGTAATTATCCCAAATCACAAAAGGTGAAAAAAGACTGCAACCTTTAAAATCTCAGTATGTAATTTCTCCTGGTATTGTCTAAATTTCTCAATTAAAGAGGTTATGAGAATTACAGACTTCATCAACAGAGACAAAGCATTGGCGCAAAATGAGAATTTACATCTCAATATGAAAGGGTTGTACCATAAGAGGCGAAAGAAATATAACTGATTTAATGTTGTTGCAACAGATGTTGTCAGCCTTCCAAAATTGGCAAATCTTTACTCTTGAAAAAGTCTTTTATTTCGAACTGACAAGATGACCTTGTCTCCAGGGTCATCTCCTGCCTGTTCTTACAGAGCAAGAGAGAGGGTAGGAGAGAGAACCTGGGAACCAGGTTGACTGACAAGATTGAAAAAACTGAGACTTTGCTTTCTGGTCTCTATCACTGCACTAAGACATTGTCTCACAGTTCTAGAATGAAGGATCAATATACATTTCTGGGAAACAGCCCACCTACCCCTCCCCTAAGCCAACATTTTGCCCTAAGTGAGAAGTAAGTGTTAATGTTGGCTTAGGGAAGGGGTAGGTGGGCAGTTTCCCAGAAACGTATAATGATTAGTTGAACTTGAAGTGTGGAAGTTTCTGAATCATCCATTTCACAGAAGAATTTACTTAGATCCAGCTCAATACATGTAATTTGGTTTCTTTAAGGACATTGTAGCCTACACAGAAAAGACCCTAAATTTCTGTTTTGATACAGCATTTTTTACAGTTTTGAAAAGTCACAAAATTTCTACAGATTAATACATAAAAGCATAGAGAAGTCTTGATGCCAAACAAACTTGAAGACAGGGTCTCTAGAGATTAGATAAAGGAAGAAAAGAGGAAATCAATAGGAGAGAAATTGAAGTTGAAGTCATAAGCATCATGCACAAAAGAATCGCAACACATATAAATTGAAAAAAAAATTGCAAGTAATAGCAAAACTTACCCTTTACTTGGCCGTCTCTCTGAGTCAGCACCTGCGCTTTCATCAACAGTTTTTGGCTGTTGTACACCAGCTTTTTTTAGAATGGATTGAAAATCTTTGGTTTCCACGCCTGCGGACATCTTCCTGTCAGTTTTGGAACCCTTTCCAGGAGGAAAATGCTTCTCCGATCTTTCTTTTCTTTGCGCCATTCTTGCCTTAAATTTGTCATCCTCCTTAGAAGCATCTACTGTCGGTGCGACAAACTTTTGTGATACAGTTTTTGACCCCTCTGCCTTTTTAAGACCCCGTTGCACGAGGTAGCCTTCTTTCGAACTCTCTACTGGTTTGTGTAGCATGTTAAACAAGTCTGAACTGGAAATTCTTCTTTCTGAACTTCCAGTAGGTGTGCCTTCTTCTTTAGAAGTAGAGTCTTTGGTTGCTTGGCTCTTTGCGGCTTCAGCTTTTTTTGTTAAGTATGTTGGAGGGGGCCGTGGAGGTGGTACTTTTTTTCCATCAACGGTTTCGCTTTGTTTTAAATTTCCTCTAAAGTCAACCCTTACAGGGCCTTCTTGTTTCTTACCAACAACTCTTGCTGCTGAAAGATTTCTTGATGGATCAGCACCTGTCGCCTTAAGTTTTCCACGTACGTCTCCTCCTAGGAATTGCTGCTGCTTTTTCCCTTGTGCAGTCAAGTCCTTATCAGCTCTCAAACCAGTCTTCTTCAGCTGACTTCGGAAATCTACCTGCACTGGGCTAGACGGTTTTCCTTTCTTAGAGAGATCCCTCAATGCAGGTCCTGAAGGGTTCCCGAGAATTCTACTTTTAAAGTCTCCAGTGAGCTCTGATGCTGAGCTGGCGCTTGATGTCTTTACTGGCCGTGGCGGCCTAGGAGGTGGCTTGCCAGGGTTATCTGATTCAGAAGGGCTTTCTGATGTTATGCTGGATTTTGTGGATGAAGAATCATCTACATCACAGTCACTTTCCACCGTGTCAGTATTTTGATTGTCAGTACCTGTCAAAGTCTTATCTTGTGCTTCAATTTTTTCAGATGGTTCATCTCCAGAGGGCATGTTGCCAGGAAACTGGTCTTCTCCCGGTTCATTATCCTGTTTAGTTTGTTTCACATTTGCGAGATCTGATACATTTTTGCTTTCTTTCCTTTTCTCTGTGAACGTAAAAGTTTGCAAGACAAGAAATGCATTAGTCGTAATAATCCATTGTACTCAACACCCATACTAACCTCATTCCCTTAGGTGCAGAGGCCTCAGCATTGAACTTGGGTGTTGTTCGAGATTTTTTTTGGGTTGCTGCAGTTTAAACACATTTATATGTAAAATACATCACTGATCAGCAACATGTATAGACAGAAATATTTATGAAACTAGAGACCTCCAAGAAAGAAGGCGCAGTGCAGACCAGAACTAGGTGAGCCACTCAGATGAATCACAGACACATGTCAGCATGGAGGCATGGAGGCATGTAGACCTCAGTGCTGACTTGCATCTGCATGAGCTCAGATGTATTATTCACTTTGACAGTTTTGCTTTGTGGGCCCTGCTATTAAGCAAATCTAAAACTGTTAGTCAAATTCTCCCCCTTCTAAAAAGCAAACATTGAATGGAGACATATTATGGCAGTGGATCACTTGGGGAAGTCATTGTCACTAGGGGTTTCTTTAAATACAAAATCTAAAAGTATAAATTATAATCAATAAAAAAATTGTACCAACCTTTCTTGACTCTCATTTGTCGTATCTGAAGTCTTATTGCCTTCCGTAACTCATATTCATTGAGAGGAACTTCTTTTAGCTTTTAGAATCAAACAAAAAACATCATTAGGTAAATATTTTTGGAACAAACTTTATTTTCTATCAAGCATCTATCCCAAACAAATAACCAAATTATTTGCTTTGTAATTGAAGACATGGAAAAACTCACACGAAAACAAGCAAACATAAAAATTTGCTGTTGTGTACAAGAGGAAGAGTAATGTTTAGGAAAAGAATGCAATCCATTATTGCCTCAATTTATTCATAAAGGTCTCTGTGCCAATAATTATTTTGTCTTTCTAACAATGCATACATGTACAAGTACGTTACACAGGGTTTGTACACTTATTTCCATGTAAAATTAAAGGACTTTTCAAGGACTTATTTCTTTTAACATACGTTCCAAGTAATAAAACTACAAATTAAAATGTCCGGGTAATAACCACATTTTGATGAAAATTTGTTTGTGAGCCCATACCTGGCTTCCACTTTCTCAATGCTGGTCTTATTCTGTTGGTTCCAAAAATGGTACATATGTATAAATTTGCCAAAGTTTTTTAGAGGTTCGAAAATGTTTTAACCGCGGCAGGATCAGCTCAGTTGGTAGAGCACTTGACTGCAGAGCGGGAGGTCATGGGTTCAATTCCCAGGGTCGGACCAATACTAAGGGTCTTAAAATGACTGAGAAATGAAAGGTACTACCTTTACCCTGCAAATGGCTTGACCTTGACGTGGCTCCAATGACCACGTAAAATGGCGGTCCCGTCTCCAGTAGGAGATGTTAATATAGTGTCCCCAATTAGC